CAGTTGTGTAGTAAATTCCCAAGCCTGTTTGTGTGGCACTGCTCCAATCATCGTCTAGAGCTGGCAGTTGGGGATGTGGTCAAGGAGGTCTCAGGGCTCAATCATTTCCAGATCTTTTTTGACAAACTCTATTCCTTGTTCCATGCCTCCCCCAAAAATCAGAGGCAGTTAGCGCAGTGTGTGCAAGCAGTCGGACAGCGTCTCCTGGTGATAGGGCGTGTTTTGTCCATCCGCTGGGTGGCTTCAAGTGAAAGGAGCGTCAGAGCAGTCTGGGAAAACTACCGAGTGCTTCATGATCACTTCACAAATGCTGCAAACGACACGAGCAGGGATTCCAGAGACAGAGCAAAGTACAAGGGCCTGGATGATGTGCTCACATCTGCAACGTTTGTCAGCAATCTGGGACTGATGTACGATGCGCTCACAGAGCTCAGCGACCTCTCTCGGCAACTCCAAAAAAGAGAGATGACACTGCCTACAGCAGATAGGCTCTTAACTCGAGAAATACGAGTTTTTGAATCCATGGTCACCATGCCTGGCCCACACATGACTACAGTTCATACAGCTCTAGCTGAGAAGTCCTTCAAGGGTGTTGCCCTGCGTGAGAATGGCAGGCTTGTACAGATTCATGCAGGTCAGTTTTTCCGCAGTATGGTAGAGAATCTGAGACACAGAATGACTTCCACAACCTCCTCTCATGTCAGCACAAGATAAATCCCATTACATGGCAGGGAGGCCCGGGACAATCAGCTAATCCAGGACATGAAAGTTATCCATCCTGGAAGTTGGCCTGAAGAGGAGTTAGACGTACAGTATGGGGACGTAGAGGTGCTACGTTTGTGCGAAGTGCTGAAAGTGGACAGAAGAGAGACTGTTCAGGGCTTTCGCGAATACAAGGAAACCAGGGCATCCCTTACACCTGCTGCCATGGAGCCTCTACTGAAAGCAGTCCGAACCATCGCTGTCTCCACTAGTGAGTGTGAGCGGGCATTCAGCTGCATGAACGATATCCTTACTGCAAAAAGGAATGCTCTCTCTGTCAGCCGACTGTCCAGCCTGGTTTTCATTAAATGTAATGGACCATCACTAGGACAGTTCAATCCGGAACAGTATGTGAGGTCCTGGCTGGCAAAGGGAAGGAGAAGTGCTGATGAAAGAGCCTGTCCAGCTCCAGCCCCTGATACTGATGTCCCCAAGGCCTTCTGGAGCCTTTTCTAACAATGTGAAGTATATTGCAAAGCAGCTCACCCAGTGAGAAGACTTTTGGCATAATGTGCCGATTTGTACAGATCCTGGAGATAGAAGGACTTCAGACCAACCAGGGAGTTATCTGATCAGCTTGGTGTTCAATGTAACTCTTTACCATGGCTCAGACTTTGTTACTTGCAGTTACAGTTTCTCATTTTAGATTGTGCAAATTTTGCATTTGTTTTTACATGTTCTTTGTTCATGCTCTTTATCATTTTTCTGAGTTGGAAAGTTAGATTGCATCATAGTTTACTTTATACATATTTGTATTCTTCAGTGGTGAAGTATATTGCAAAGCAGCTCAGCCATGTGAGAAGACTTTTGGCACTTTTTCGTTTTCTGAGTTGGAAAGTTAGATTGCATTCAAAATGTACAGAAATACTTAATTTTGTTAAAGCTTTTTATAAAAAATGCTTCTGACCAGAGCTTTGTTTCCTTGTCATTAATGTTGAACACCACCAGAGGGGCTCTCACCTGAAAGGTCTCTGCTTCATGTGTCTTCAGCAGAAGATCTAGACTTTGATTGCTATATTTTCAGTTAATATTGACCTTACTGAGCTTTAACCATATCCGCTGCCTATCATAAAAAATGTTAAGTACAGTGAACCTTTCTAAAATATACAGTAGTAAAGAGACAAACCCACCAGCATTATAGTAGCCAAATTCTTGTTTGTGGGCTGTATATATAAAATTGACTTGAAAAAGTTGCTGATTTTAGAGTACTGGCACCTTTTTCATTCCAATTCAAGCACTGTCCATAGGTATTATGAGCGTTGTGGTTCAACGGTTCAACCGATCTGAATCGCTTCCTGATGCAGTCACGTGGTATCGACAGGCAGCGAGGCTTCGTTTGTCATCGATGACGTCACTGGCCCAAAACGATACAAGCCTCGATACATGCTTCACAAAAAGCTTCGGGGATTACTCGACACACGCTCCGAAGCCTCGGCGCAATACGTAACATCACTAGAAGCAAGGATTTCATTTAATCGACCTGAGAAGCAGCCTACGTCTGACTTCGCCAAGCAGGTAATGTGCTGCACCGCATGCCTTCAATATTTTAATGTTTATTGCAAGTAAATCAGTTGTAGTTACATATATTTTTAAAGCACGAGCTAGCTAAACACATATTAGCTTTACTTGACCGGAGATATAGTGCAGTGATGAGTCCTACAACCCGGAAGTGAGTTAGCATTTTACAACTATTGGTTCCCTCGTCTCAGAGTCAATGGGATTTCTACATAGGATTTTGGAAAATAGCTCGAAATAAGATCTGTGGAAAACGAACCTGCTTGATAAATGCACGTTTTGTTCAGCCGGATAATCTCCACATATCTACCCTACTTTTATAATTTTCGAATCATAAATCTAATGGCCAGAAGCAAAATGCTAACGTTATGCTATAAAGGAACTACAGACCATGGATCAGGGCCGGACTGGGACAATTTGTCAGGCCGGGAGTTATACACCCAGCCAGGCCACTACCATTGTTTTTGTGCCATATTGCTGGATTTATTTGTCAATATTTACAGCGTTGCTGCCCATAGTGATAGCCTATAGTTTAAATCTACTACCCAAAAATAAACATATGGACATGGATCACTATTTAAAAAAAATGTGAAAATCTATTTAGGAACCTATCCATGTGCACATATTTTAAGTGGAGGTGGACCTCAAATCCTCTAGGGGGGTCCGGGGGCATGCTCCCCCGGTAAGATTTGTGTGTTAAATGTTGGAGTTAAATGCATCAATCTGGTGCATTTTGAGGGGGAAATAAAGAGACTAGATCTATGGAAACACCCATATGAAACAGAACTGTATACATTTAAATAATCATAAGAATATGGCCATAACCAATAACATACCTTATTACATGGCTTAGTTGAATACTCGATTCTGATTGGTCAATTCAGAACACGTGACACGTTGTTAATACCGTTACCGAACAGACAGACCGCTGTCAAGGACTTATTGACCGTTGTTAAGGACGCTCACATCTTCAGAAAGAAGTCCGGTCGATTTAACTGTATACCGTTGGGCCGAAAAGCAAACTGCATGCAGTTTGCTTTTCGAACTGGGACATGAAAAACAGCGCAGAAGTAACGGGGCAGAAACCCTCCTTTTTACGCAGCGGTCAAGACATAGACATCAAACGGCGACACATATTCAGTTGCCAGTTACTTTGGCATTAGGGCAGGGATATCTAGATACTTTCCAAGGTTTGACATAATGAATTGTAATTCAAACGTTTCTGGAAGTTCAATAGAACGAAAATTAAAAACAGTTATTTTAGATGACACAGCTAACGTGTAGGGTTGGAATATTTCGAGCCGTGCCTGAATGCACCTCTGCCCAGCGTTTGCTCGCTATAGGCTGCGGAATGGGGCGGGGTCGGATGTGGGCGGGGCTGGACGTCCGATGGGCGGGGTGTATGGATATCCTAATGACACAAACAGCATCATCTGCTGGACAACTACAAGAGTGAATGGAATGGGGCGGGGGCGGATGTGGGCGGGGCTGGACGTCCAATGGGCGGGGTGTATGGATATCCTAATGACACAAACAGCATCATCTGCTGGACAACTACAATAAGTACAAATACAAATCTGCACTCGACTAAATATAATTTAAAAACTTCATACTAATTAAATGCATGAATGTATTTAAATATGTGGTATAAAAAGTCATATTTTCTATTAGTGTATTTAAGTTCATTATTTAATATTTGTTTTAATTGATATATTAGTGTATTTAAGTATATTATTTAATATTTGTTTTAATTGATTATTCATTTAGTTAGTTCTGTGCATACTCATATCTAGTCCATATATTTCAAATGATACGTTGCACTGCATTTCATAGAATGATAGAAAAAGTATTTATTATTTACAACATTTATCATATAACAGAACAATCATTAAGATAACAGAACGGAAAAAGCAAATACAGTAAATATAAAAACCAAACCAAGTATACAAAAAAAAAATCTATACAACAGTGAAAGGCTTTGCTGATGCAAACATTCAACCGCGCTCTTCAAAACAGGCATGAACCTTAAGGTTTTCTTTGTTAATGCACTGCTCAAAAAACATTAAATAGTCCGACTCAAATTTGAACCTGAACATAAATGGGTCCAGCTGTCTTCGTCCCGCAGGTTGCTGGCTTCACCAAGGTTATGGAGAGCTGCTTCTCTGTCCAGTGCGGCCATGGAAAGAATTTGTGGCAGGATGACTTTATCTCCCATATTCTTTGCAGAGCACCACTGAGATGCCGCCATAGCACTACTTATAAAGGGGTGCTTCTCCTACAGCAGTGGTTCTCAAACTTTTTCTGTAATTCCCCACTTTGAACAGGTGGGCCTTTTCAAGCCCCACCTGTTCCTCTTAAGCTTAATTTTTCAATCTTAAAATTGTCAAATGTATCGTTCTATAACAGTCTCCAACCTTTTTTAGGATGAGAGCTACTTTCCAAAACTAAAACGAAAAAAATAGCTACTTTTACTCCTCTTTTTTGTTGCACATTTTAACATTATTATATGCTACCTTTAACCTTTGTGTGCTGCAACTGACAGTGGCTGACAGTTAACAATAGTTTGCAGCTCTTTTTGGTAGCTATGTATGTATGTAGTGCTTATATGCTTATAGATGCAGTATATTTACAGTGCATATTTAAGGCTATTTCTGCTGTACACCAGTATAAAGGTAATACCTCAGTTTTCTACTTGTTTACTTTTACCCTTTACTAGTATTTTAAATATGTATCTTTCTACCTTGCTTGTGCATCACTTTCCTTTGGGATAAATAAAGTACCTATATATACATATGTATGTTGTCTGTTCACATGCATTTTGTTTGTTGTTCAAGTTATGCCCTAACATTGGCTTTTACCTTTATGTTTCACCGTTGCATGATTTTGTATGTGGTTAATCACCAAATGCCTTTCTGCAGTCTTATAAGAGCAGAATGGGCACTGATAAAAAGGTGAATCGGCAGACTGTAGGGGCACAGGTCCTTCTCCCTCAGTAAGAATGGTATGGTGTCTGAGGAAGAACACAAAATGGAATACATTCAAATCAGAGTCTACATGTATCAAATGTTGTTATTTCTTTAAGCAGATCGATTCAGTTGGTTTGTAAGAATTTAAAAACACATCAAGATGAACAATGTAGATATTCTACATCTATGGATTCTTACGAACACTTCAAGACCAAGCATGCTGCGCTAACTTATTGGTACGGCCATACAGACAACGTAAGTAGGAACTTGGCAGCGAATGTCTACTGGGTTGCATAATACATAATTTATTACCTTCGGTCGTTCCCTTCCATGATAATGATGATGTATAATCGTCTTCAAATGTAATAACGCGGACAAACAGACCAACTAGGTGAGCACATGGTTCTTCTTCTTCTTCTTCTTCTTCTTCTTCTTCTTCTTCTTCTTCTTCTTCTTCTTCTTCTTCTTCTTCTTCTTCTTCTTCTTCTTCTTCTTCTTCTTCTTCTCTTCTTCTCTTCTTCTCTCTTCTTCTTCTTCTCTTCTTCTTCTTCTTCTTCTTTCTTCTTCTTCTTATTCTCTTTCTTCTTTCTTCTTCTTCTTTCTTCTTCTTCTTCTTCTTCTTCTTCTTCTTCGCGGTAGGGAAACAGCTGATGTGTAATGTGGACTCACAAGGCGGGGTCGCGGAATGGGGCGGAGGAGGTCGGACGTCCGACCCCGCCTTTTATCCGACCCCTCCGCGTTCCGCAGCGAGGACCTTCTCTTTTCTCCCGCCAGAAAGAAATTTAAACCGCCGCTGTGTCTCCGCCCCCTCAGAAAATTATAAATATAGGCAGCTCCTTGCCGCCTTTTCACTACAACCTTAAACAACCGATTCTTCAGTGTCGGAAAGAAGCAGGGTGAAAAATCGTACAAAAATGGTGAGTACTGACGAACAAAACAATTATATAAATAATAAAACTACCGGTAATTAGATTTTTTGCCGTTGAAATCCCGTTTATGTGCCTAAATTGTGGTAGCTTTAGTCCAAACAGTTGGCGCAGTTTAAATCATAACGGTTGAAATTGGCCGTTAAAACGGAACTTTCATCGCTTTCAACTACAGTCAAATATACTGTATCGACATCTGGGCATTTCTCCTTATCAACAACTTCAAACAGGCATAGCCTACACTTCATTCTTTACTTTGTCCGTTATTATATGTAGAAGATATTAATTTTTTCTCCGTCATGTTGTTTCCATAGCAACAACTTCAAACAATAACAACTAACCGCTAGCAGCAAAGCTAGCTTCACAGCCACTGCTCCGTTTTCGGAGACTTTGCACACGTTTTTCACAAACATTTTCACACGCTAGGAGTACTTCCACTAGCTTCGTCTTGATCTGTAGATGTGATTTGATGTGTCGTGTGTCCCCCAACTCCTCTCCAAAGTTCAGATATATAATAAAATACTCAGGGGAGTTTCCTGAATTGTCATGCCCAAAGCCAAGCACTAGGCCCTGGGTAAATTAAGAGGCTGATCTCGGGCACTTTTGTCCACTTTCCCTGGTGGTCGAAACTCAAGCCAGACATCCCTGGAATCGTCTCAGAGAGTAGATGATCAGTGGGGCCTTGTTTTTACTGAATGATGTGTTTTTTTATGATGAATTCAAATATGGGCTTATTTTTAGGATTTTCGGAGACTTTGCACACGTTTTCACAAACATTTTCACGCTAGGAGTATGGGAGTACTTCCATTCGCTTCGCCTTGATCTGTAGATGTGATTTGATGTGTCGTGTGTCTCCCAACTCCTCTCCAAAGTTCAGATACTATATACAAATACTAAAAGGTAAATAAAACATTAAACATAATGACAAAATAACAACCTGAAATATATGTATTCTATCTACACATTTCGTAATTATCTAATCTAGTGGCCTGATAAAAGTGTTGGCTAAAGTAACGCAGAATATATATATATTTTAATTGTAAATAATTAGAAACATTATTTATGTGCACAAGTACATGGGACCCCATCATAGCACCCCACACATAACAAGCTGTCCCGAGTTCCTCCGGCTGCAGTTCCGCAGACGGCCGGTGTGTGGCAGCAGAGCGCTGGGAGCAGAGGGAGGTGAGTATATGACGGAAGACGGATGCGACGGAAATACACCCGAACATATCTGGTAGCCCGAACATATCTGGTACTGACACCGGCGAGCTAGAAGAATGCATCAGATAACGACCTGTCCATGAACGTTACAGAAAGGCAGGGCTTTGCAGCAGGGAGGAGAGATGTTGCTCGTTTTGGGAGGGGCAGACAGGAACACGTGACTCGGCACAAAGTCACTAGGGCTGCAGTCTAATAGTCCAAAAATCAGCTCCTAAGTTCTAACCCTATCGTCTATTCCTGAAACGTTAAGGGATAGTGGATAGGAGAATTCAAAAAGGACTTAGGAGAAGAGACTGTGGTACTTTAGAGAATCCGACTGCACTTTCACTATTTGACGTGTTTATGATGCGCCAGCGGACGTCATTGTGTGCGTCTGCTGCTGTGGGGAAACCATGGAAACTACAGGTTTCTATACAGCGGACTACAACATGGATGTTCAATAAGAAGGAGGGACTATTGTCAACTCATCGAGAGACTCTGCACCGTGCTCTGATGCTGTTGCTTTATGCTTTATGAACGTGGACAACAGAGAAACATATTCTTCATGACCAAAGTTGGAATTGAAATAAAAAAAGGTCCACATTAATACAAATGGTCCCAACACGTATGATTGAATGAAAATATCTTAAAATCAATACAAATGTATTTATTATAAACGTTAGTCCTTAACATCTATCACTGTGTATATCACCATTCAAACATCTTTTAAAAGTTGAACAAACTCCACACAGCTCAGTAAAGACTGAAATGTTGACTTTATTTGATCATTTCAGTAAAAACTAACGTTCATATTTCTCTTTTTGATTATAATACTGATGAACGTTCAAAACAAAGCACTTTGGCAACTTACCACATACGTTTTAAAAAGCTTAATAAGCACCGTAACTTTCATGATATTATTTCTCCGCCATAATCGTTTGTTTCCGTGAACGGCCGACTGTTGTGACGGCAAATGCTGCGACTGCAAGGCATTGTGGGGCAGCATTTTCTCCTCTCCTTTCGGTGAGGGAGGTCCAGTGGTTCCTAAGCTAAAGGAGGTTATAAAGGAAGTTTGAAACCTCCTTTCCTATCATCTAGAGCAGTGGTTCCCAAACTTTTTGTGCCCAAGGCACACCAAAGGACAAGTACAAATCTCAAGGCACACCTATTGTGCAAAATAGCCCTTATAACACGTGTTGTCACTCATATCATGTAAAATATCTGTAAATGTGCATAATTATTTACTACAAATTCGAAAATGTAATCTGCTCAAAAGTAACCGTTTGTCTCTCCTCCACAGCGTGAGTGTATCTCTATGCATGTCGGCCAGGCCGGAGTCCAGATGGGCAATGCCTGCTGGGAGCTCTACTGCCTGGAGCACGGCATCCAGCCTGACGGTCAGATGCCGAGTGACAAGACCATCGGAGGAGGAGACGACTCCTTCAACACCTTCTTCAGCGAGACTGGAGCCGGCAAACACGTCCCCACAGCCGTCTTTGTGGACCTGGAGCCCACTGTAATTGGTAAGGATACATATATTTGTATTTAAACGTGAAATAATATTTTTGAAGAAGACGGGTAGGACAGACGGATAAATAGATGCTTATTGAACCCAAATTGGGAAATTATTTTGTTGCCGCAGCAGTGTGTTCAGGCATTAAAATATATAAATAATAAAATAAAATCAATAAACAGCAAATATAATATCTACAGTAGAATATACGTGTATCTAAAATATTCTGGATTATTCTGGTTCAATACCCATGACTGTACCGTGTTGTTCCTCAGATGAAGTCCGTACAGGAACCTACCGCCAGCTCTTCCACCCCGAGCAGCTGATCACCGGTAAGGAGGACGCAGCCAACAACTACGCCCACGGTCACTACACCGTCGGCAAGGAGATCATCGACCTGGTGCTTGACAGGACTCGCAAACTGGTGAGCTCTTCATCTCATTACATGTTGCAAGTGAAGCCTTTAAAATAAAAACATATTTCGATTGATGGCAAAACATTTAAAACCATTATCCCTTATTTCCAGGCTGACCAGTGCACAGGGCTCCAGGGTTTCCTGATCTTCCACTCCTTTGGAGGAGGGAACCGGCTCTGGCTTCACCTCCTTGCTGATGGAGCGTCTCTCTGACGACTACGGCAAGAAGTCCAAGCTTGAGTTTGCGGTTTACCCCGCCCCCCAGGTGTCCACCGCTGTGGTGGAGCCCTACAACTCCATCCTGACCACCCACACCACCCTGGAGCACTCCGACTGTGCCTTCATGGTGGACAATGAGGCCATCTACGACATCTGCCGCAGGAACCTGGACATCGAGCGCCCTACCTACACCAACCTCAACAGGCTGATTGGACAGATCGTCTCCTCCATCACCGCCTCCCTGCGCTTCGATGGTGCCTTGAATGTGGATCTGACTGAGTTCCAGACCAACTTGTTGCCTTACCCTCGTATCCACTTCCCTCTGGCCACTTACGCCCCAGTTATCACCGCAGAGAAGGCCTACCACGAGCAGCTGTCGGTGGCTGACATCACCAACGCCTGTTTCGAGCCAGCCAACCAGATGGTGAAATGCGAACCCCGCCACGGCAAGTACATGGCCTGCTGCCTCCTGTACCGTGGTGATGTGGTGCCCAAAGATGTCAACTCTGCCATCGCCACCATCAAAACCAAGCGCACCATCCAGTTTGTGGACTGGTGTCCCACTGGCTTCAAGGTGGGCATCAACTACCAGCCCCCTACCGTGGTTCCTGGAGGGGACCTGGCCAAGGTGCAGAGGGCCGTGTGCATGCTGAGCAACACCACCGCCATCGCAGAGGCCTGGGCTCGCCTGGACCACAAGTTCGACCTGATGTACGCCAAGAGGGCCTTCGTCCACTGGTACGTTGGAGAGGGGATGGAGGAGGGAGAGTTCTCTGAGGCCAGAGAGGATATGGCTGCCCTGGGGAAGGATTATGAGGAGGTGGGCACCGACAGCGTGGGGGACGAAGGAGAAGAAGGGGAGGAGTACTAAGTCACTGAAACATCTGTGGTGAAGACTCTGACCCTCCAGAGCCTGGACGACCATCTCTTTAGCTTGGCTTCAGTTATTTTGGCACGTGACTCAAGATTTTAAACTCTTAACGATGAAGGACACCGTAATGTTTAACTAGGTTTTTAAAAAAAAAAACAGGGTTCAGCTGTTGCATCTGGTTACTTACATTTCTTTTTTATCTTTCTATTTTCTTTTGAGTCATTCCAAATGTTGGTTAACTGCATTGTTCTGACAGGCATTGATGATGGGATGCCAGGCCGGGGGAGGCAACCTGTACACTGACTAAACCATTTCAATAAAGTGCACCTGTGTT